CAGATCTGTTTGTGCATTCGCATACTTATTCACAGTTTAAGGACAGTATCGCTCAGTATATGTTGATTTTATGGACACTATAATCTCTGGAACAACTTTAGCTTATACCCAATAAAGCTGGAATGACACTATTTTGCCTGCTGGGGATTAGGGACCGCCAGGTTATCAGGTTATTCACGCACTATTTCGCTGTCTTAAAGGGTTGGTGTCTAGAGGTCCTATGTCACAGGATACCCTGAGAATTTACAGATTTAGGGGACTCTGCCCAAACTCAGGGGTCCCCATTACTAATTTAATACGCAACCCAGGATTGGCCTGCTATGTCTGTGCCCCATTGATTGGCCTGCTATGTCTGTGCCCTTCTGTCTGGCTTGCACTACCTGTGCCCATCGTTGGCCGGACCTATCCATGCCCGAACCCCCTTTTGACCACAGGTCTGGGGGAATATCACTGAGGAAGCTCGGTACCCACTATTGACATGGAGATAGGTGGGTGTCCAGGCAAGCACTGCTGCCATACTATTCAAGAGAACACCAGGATATGGACACCTAAATATGATTGGAAGGGTGAAGGCCCTACACCTCATGCCCTGAGGGGCAAAGCTTTTATGAAGATTCCCGGGACACAACCACGGTTTACACCAACCCGGTGGCGACACATTTCCAAAGAGAATTTCGCACAAGCAGGGACCAGTGCTCAGACACCAACAGGGGAACACTGTTTCCTTGCCTTCAGCTACTAACCATTTAGCTTCATGACCGGTATCCATCTTAGGTATTGGTAGTTAGTCCTACGTCATGTTTAGCTCCTGACCCTCTCAATTGGTTTTACTTGACTTGCTTTCTGATCAGTTATTTACCTTCTCTCCGAGGTATGTATTTACCGCAATCTACATTTTTTGTCGTTGCTTGGTTTTTGGGCCTTCCAATTATCCTATCGCTCGGGTCATCGAGAGGCTTGACTAGACCTCCTCCGACCTACCGAGCTCTCGGGGATCGTGGAGAACGTCTCCAGCTTTCCTCAAGCTGCCGACTGTCATCCTGGATCGCACACACGCGGGATCCTGGCGGTCCATTGGTAGTTTCCTTCTTTGCTTCCGAAGCTTGCTTTTTTCTCATCATCCCTTTCTGTTATTAAGGATGGACACAGCCCAAGGTTGTATACTATTTCATCTACCATCGGTCTGGTTTATTACCATTTGACTCCATCTCTCAGGTGAGCAATTTACAGAGAGGTCTCTGAGTCAGAGAGACCCACCTTAGGATCTCAGTCTTATGCTGATGTTAATAAATGGTGTTCCTCTGCAGTTGGTCACCCTGAGTCTCTAAGGGACTCTAGCTTGGATTACAGGAGGGTGCGACCCTCCATCGTCTCGGCCCGAGACTGATATTTTTTTATTTTAATGAGCAGAGAGCGAACCCCACTCATATACTGTACCGGACACTGATTCATTATTAGAGGGCGCGACCCTCCTTCAACCTGAACCCCACACTGAGCTGGATACGGAGGATATGTTTTGAGTGACACATCCTCATAGAGGGACCGGACACGGATGTAAGCTCTAAGGTTTGGTTATTACGGGTGCAGCCCGCTCATGCCATCAGCCAGACCCTGAAATGGATTTCAGTCACATTAGTAGAGAGTGCGACTCTCTCATACACTCAACGCACTACGGTGCCGTCTATTCATCACACAAGCTTCTACCTGTATGGGACAATGATGATTGCATAGAGGGGCGTCCCTCCTGCATTCAATTAGATCTAACGACCGTGCTACCAACTTTGTTATAGAGGGCTGCCTGATCATACAGGGTATATGTATTTAAACTGGATCCCGCTATTTCACCTAATATAATGGAGCTACTGGATCCGGACCACTGTATCCCATGCGGGAAATACTCACAGTGGTATTACGGGGGGAGATTCCCCGCTTATTTACACACACTCCTGGAGATGGTACGGCTAACGGATGAGCCCCTGGTATTACAAGAGTGCAGGTTTTGGTATAATCTGCGCTATATCAAACAGGCAATTGCACTCTGTTTAAGATATTCAGACCATTGCGAACAAACTGCGCAGACATTTTTTTCCCATGTCAAGGTGACAGGAGATCCTGAGGTCTTCATAGAGCAAACGGGCACTGCCCTGCTCGGGTAACAAGACTAGGGAGGACCCACTACCCTGTCTGCAGGTACACTGTGCGCATGGATCGCATGGAAAGACCAGAACCCTGGTTGATATGGGTTCCCTGGTCATTACTATCTTGGGATAAGATGACAGGACTACCCCTACTCTTCTGAGCACATATCTGGAGAACATGGTTTGGACATGAAGGGCCCTCCTTCTATGCTCTATATACCTCACGGGAAACGTCTTGGTTTGGGTTCTTGCTAACCCACCTTTTTAACTACCATCAAGGAGACCTACAATGGACTCTACGGAGGAACCCTGTATGCCAGACTCATGCACGGATGTCAAAGTCGGAACGCAACCTACTACTGGAGTACTGCTCAGGAGGGTGGCAGACTCAGATAGGACTGCTGACATTTTCAAACGGGACAACACCTGCTTTGGACGGTTGAATCTAGACCCTTGTTTTTTTCGTTATATATGCTCTCTGGAGTCATCTGTCGTGAGTGTAGGGACTTTATGTCTTGCCTGCATATTAGAGAATGCTATGTGTTAGCGGGACTCCAAGCTAAGAAGGGAGATATCCCTCTATAGGGAGGCCTTGACTTTGGCTCTCGAATTCCCTGAACGGCGGGTGGGGGCCCTAAATTAGAATATAGGGGGGGACCTAATGTCCTCCCCCTGGCCCCCACCCCTGAGCAGTGGGTGAGAGTCCTAAATTAGAATAAGGGGGGGACCTAATGTCCTCCCCCCTGGCCCCCACCTGTGAGCGATGGGTGGGGGGCCCTAAATAAAAATTCGGGGGGGGACACCTAATGTCCTCCCCCCTGGTCCCCACACCTGAGCGGCAGGTGGGGGCCCTAAATAAAAACTTAACCCCCCAGGTGACTAGGGGTCCCCAAACCCCTAGTCACCCCCTCCCACCAAAAATTAACCCCTACCTACCCCCTCACCCTTAAAATAATGAGGGGGGGGCCTTTTACTAAGCACCTGTAAAAATAAAACTTACCATTTGATGTTTTCTTTCTTCGAAAATCTTATTTTTTCAGCCCCCAAAAAGGCCAAATAAAAATCCATAATAACCGTCGCACTTAAAAAAAAACAAAAAAAAAACGAGCGGAAACAAAAATAATCCATCTTCACCCATGGAGGGCTCAGCGCAGACTGAGCTCTGCAGGGTGGGGGAAGGCTTATAAAGCCTTGCCCCGCCCTGCAATTAGGCTCAGAGCACTCTGATTGGTGGGTTTAAGTCATCCAATCAGAGTGCTCTGACAGGTAAATGAAGAGACTGACAGGTAAGTCTCTATATTTACCTGTCACAGCACTCTGATTGGTTGGCTTACTTAATCCACCAATCAGAGTGTTATGAGTCAAATTACACAGCGTGGGAAAATTCCAAAGAACTTTCCCACACTGTGTAAAATGACACAGAGCACTCTGATTGGTGGATTTCAAGCCAACCAATCAGAGTGCTGTGACAGGTAAATGTAGAGACTTACTGTCAGAGTGCTCTGAGCCTAACTGCAGTGCGGTGCAAAGCTTTATAAGCCTTCCCCCTCCCTGCAGAGCTCAGTCTGCGCGGAGCCCTCCATGGGTGAAGATGGATTTTTTTTTTTTTAAGTGCGTCGGTTATTATGGATTTTTATTTGGCATTTTTTGTTGCTGAAAAAAGAAGATTTTAGAAGAAAGAAAACATTAAATGGTAAGTTTTATTTTAGTTTTTACAGGTACTTAGTTAAAGGTCCCCCGCTCATTATTTTTAGGGTGAGGGGGGTAGGAAGGGGTTAATCTTTTTGGGGGGGTTGGGAGACTAGGGGTTTGGGGACCCCTAGTCACCTGGGTGGGGGGTTAAATTGTTATTTAGTGCCTCCACCCACCGCTCAGGAGTGAGGGCCAGGGGGAAGGACAATAGGTCCCCCCATTGGTATTTAGGGCCCCCACCCACCGCACAGGGGTGGGGGCCAGAGGGGAGGACATTAGGACACCCCCAATTTGTATTTAGGGCATCCACCCACCGCTCAGGGGTGCGGGTCAGGGGGAGGACATTAGGTTCCCTCCTAATTGGTATTTAGGGCCCCCACCCACCTGAGCGGTGGCTGGGGGCCCTAAAGAAAAATTGGGGGGAGGGGACCTTATGTCCTCCCCCTAGTCCCCCACCCCTGAGCAGTGGTTGGGGGCCCTAAACACCAATTAGGGGGGATCTAATGTCCTCCCCCCTGGCCCACACCCCTGAGCAGTGGGTGGGGGCCCTAAATACCAATTAGGGAGGGGGGGCAATTGGTCCCCCCTTTAGATTAAAATCCCCCACTCGAATGTCACGAGTGGGGGCTCGGGAGGGGGGCCTCGGTTTATGGCTGCTCACTGTTTAATAGACATGCCCCTACTAGCTATATAGAGGCTGGGTCACATGCTGCACTGACCAGGGGGGAGGACATTAGGTCCCCCCCTTATTCTAAGTTAGGGCCCCCAACCACGCTCAGGGGTGGGGGGCAGGGGGAAGGACATTAGGTGCCCCCCCCAATTTTTATTTAGGGCCCCCACCCACCGCTCAAGGGTGGGGGCCAGGGGGGAGGACATTAGGTCCCCTCCCTAATTGGTATTTAGGGCCCCCACCCACCGCTCAGGGGTGGGGGCCAGGGGGGAGGACATTAGGTCCCATCCCCCAATTTTTATTTAGGGCCCCCACACACCACTCAGGAGTGGGGGCCAGGGGGGAGGAAATTAGGTCCCCCCCTTATTCTAATTTAGGGCCCCCACCCACCATTCAGGGGTAGGGGCCAGGGGGGAGGACAATAGGTCCCCCCATCTTATTCTAATTTAGTGCCCCCACCTGCCGCTCAGGGGTGGGGGTCAGGGGGAAGGACAATAGGTCCCCCCTCTTATTGGTGTTTAGGGCGCCCACCCGCCGCTCAGGGGTGGGGGCCGGAGGGGAGGACAATAGGACCCCCCATTATTTTACTTTAGGGCCCCCACCCACCGCTCACGGGTGGGGGCTGGGGGGGGGGGAATAGGTCTCCCCTTTAGATTAAAATCCCCCACTCGCACGTCACGACTGGGGGCTCGGGAAGGGGGCCCCGGTTTAAGGCTGCTCACTGTTTAATAGACATGCCCCTACTAGCTATATAGAGGCTGGGTCACATGCTGCACTGGCCAATCACAGTCATGCCATTAGTAGGCATGACTGTGATGGCTTCTAATGGCACACAAGTCAAACGCTTGTTGATTGGCTGCCCTGCAGCTTTTCAAAACGCGTCATTAAATTGTCAAACACCGAACTCGAACTGTTACTGAAATGTCCGGGCTCGTGTTCGGGGTCTCCCCTCACTGCGCATTGCTATGGTTGTGGCATTTTTGTGAGCCTGCCAGGCCCCTTTTCCCCTGTCCGTCCTCTCGCGCCTTCCCTGGATAGATTTCAGCGCTTGCCTGCATTTGCTGCGATAGGTTTACTTGCGTCTTGGCCCTTGGGCTGCACTTGCAGTGTTGCGTGGCAGTTCTACTGGCCGTGTGGCTGGCCCTCCTTTTTTTACTCCTCTCTCTTGCAGGTTCTTTATTATGTGAGGACAGCACAGTATGTATTCTGTAGACATGGGTGTGCTGCTCCCCCTCACTGTTTGTTTGAATTACCAACTAAATTGTAGTTTTTGTGTTTTGTGTTCCAGCCCCCTCCCTGGGGGAGATTGTCTATTGCAGAGTGCCACATAACTGTATGCCTGGTGTTCCGGCCCCTCGTTACTGAACTCACGCTCTTACAATGTCTAGTGCCTAAGTGCACTGTATAGAATGGGTGATCCCCAACCCCCCCAGCCCTGTTCTGGCCATGATGGGAAATATGTTTTGGCTGCTGATTCCTATTACTGACAACCAGCCACAAGGAGCCATCCTGTCACTTACATCCGGCCATAGATTCACCATCCTGTCACTCACCTATAGCCATCCTCTCACTTACGACCAGTCACTAGGTGCCGTCCAGTCACTCACAGCCAGCCATCTTCTCATTCACAAATAATTCCATCAGACATTGGGTGACCCCCTTTCAATTGGGCTGCTCTGCTTTAAGCTATAGTGCTCTATGGGTGACCCCCTCTTGAACTCCCTACCTAAGGCGCTTGCAGCCTTCCTTGGGGATGGCCCCCCGACTGCCTCGCAGCCTATTCCTCTCACCCCTGACTCTAAAGGCTCGAACTCAGATGGATCTCTACACTCCCTGGGGACGAGATCCGAATGCAAGTGTCCCTGGACAGGCTAAACCGCACAAGGGCAAATTACCCTCTAAATTAACTAGACTGGGTCCCGGTGCACCCAGACATGCAGACACCTTCTCGGGGGCCCTTGATTGCAATTCTCAGGGGCCCCTTGATTTCTACAGGTCTCACAGCGTGTTTGCTGCGTGTCAAGAGAAAGGACCTTTGGTCGTTACTCCTGCTACGTTAAGGAGATGGTGGTCAATGTTTCCCCAGTTTATGCTCTATGACTCCAGTCGACCCTTGCTGACGATCCCATGAAGATACTAGATCCTTCAACACACAACCCCTCAGGTGTCCATACTCCTCCCAGCGGACACTCCACAGCCACATTACGGAGTTCCTCAGGTGTTCGCTCCACTGCCCTCTGGATAAGGAGGTCAGGGTGAAGATTTGGGTAGAGTGCCCTCCTCCTACACTACCAGATAAAGTGGCCCTTACCCCTGACTTTGACCTGGTGTTTGCAACATTTCATGTTCCGGGAAGGATCATGTGACTGTTATTTTCAGAATTAGCATCTGACATTTAAACAGTGAAGGTCACCATACTCTGTAACACTTTGATAAAGCCTAAACAAAGCTGAAACGCGTTAGTGTATTACACCAGTTTTTATTTTTATACAGTTGTGAAGCTGCCTATCCGAACTGTATCAATACTATCGAGGCACTGAAATGTTACCTTTTTTTTTTTAATTGTAAAAATGAATGTATGTCTAAGGATATAAATCAAAATGGAGTGCTGCTCATGATATTATTTAAACCTTAAAAATGTTTGAATTATATTCCATATTTTAAGCCAGTTCTGGACCACTCTTTTGGGTGGGATCAGTCTGATATGCAAATGGTCCTAGTTATTTTTGTAATGACAAAAGATGAGCTGAAACTAGCATGCGATCTGAGCAGGCACCCACCGAATGGCAGGCCATCTGAGCTGTTGTCCATTCTCAATACTCTCGTGCACATTGTTTTTTTTAACTCTCCCTAAGTTTAAAGGGTAATCAAAACGTGGACCCCTTGCTCACTGTGCCTAGAGAGATGTTGGCTATACCTCACTGACAATGCCTTACAAGGCTGAAATGATCATCTGGGGTTTCAATATCTCTCATGCAGAGAGATCTAGCATGCATTTTGGTTCTGGACCACCCTTTTTAGGTGGGATCAGTCTGATATGCAAATGGTACTCATTCTTTTTGTAATGGCACAAGATGAGTTAAAACTAGCTTGAGACCTGAGCGGGGACCAACAGAAGGGCAGGCTATTTGAGCTGTTGTCCGTTCTCAGTACTCTCCTTCACTTTGCTCTTTTTTTCCATATTTTAAACCATGCTTAATTAATGCATTTATTACTTAAGAAAATAAAGTTATAAAAAACATATTTTTTTTGCTCAAGATGATACCTTTATTGCTTTAAAGATTACATTTTATTGGTACACCTAATAAAAATCCTGGACTTTTCTGAAAGAGCCAACCTTTGGGCTGCTTGCTCCCCAGTCGGAGAATCTTCTATACTCTCCAGGTCTCAGGTAATATTGACGACCTCTGTAATTAGGTTCTTCATAGAAAATCCACTGGCCTTCAGGGATGCTGCAAGAGTGGATGTCATTATTCCGGAAACGTTCATGGACATTGGGACAATCTTCAGTGAATTCCATCATGTGCCCACCAAAATCCTCTTTCTCATAAACCCTGATCTTGAAAGTTCCACGATGCTGTTAAAAAATATATATTTTTAAAAAATGTCTGTCCTACATTAATAATTACATTGGGATGTGCTGATTATCTTGATAAAATAATAATTCATTTTTAAGTGACATGAGTGTATTTAAGATTAGGAATGCCTACAGCACACCTCTCAATATGCTGACCAGCTGCTATAATTGCATGGCCATATGAAGCTGTTTTTACATGTCTCAGTGCAGCACAACACTAGCATCAGTGTATCATGTTGCGCCTGCATTGAATTGATGCAAATACACCCAGCTTCTTGTGATTATGGTTGGGTTATTCCATTTACAGTGCTTAGGCAATGCAGTGGTTTCCCATAATGTGAATGCCATATATCACAGACAAAACATATTAATCTCAATTTGAAGCTTAGACTGTTATTTTGTGACACATTTGCTTGAAGCCCATAATTACCCCTCGCTCATTTGGGTCCTTCTTCCATTCCTTTACTAGTATTTTGCCTTCCTTACCGTTTGTTTTCCTGCCTTTACAGTGATTAAATGATGCCTGCCCTGAACATTGGATGAGACCTAACAAAAAGATTACTATACCATTTTTGTACTCTTTTGCTTCTTGTTTTTTTGTTTTGTTCATTTATTTTTTTTTTTATTTTGTTTATTCTTTTCATTTCTATTAGCTACCATGTTCTAGCTAAATATCTGCCCTATTCCAGACTTTATCAGAGAGCTTTGAATCAAATGAACAATCTATGTTATATGATCTGGATTCCATCTCAGGATGATAACTAAACTCAAGAATGAAACACCTTATACTATCATACACATAATATATCATAACAAAGAGGAGTTAGGCGCTCACTAAATAAACTAAAGGTGGGCAGCAGTGAACCAAGCAGGAATTCCCAATACCTGCTCACAGTAGTAAAACAGAAGAGACAAAAGTGGTAAACCGCGCCCAAACAGTGCAAATAATAATTAAAATATATACATACAGAGAGTCATCAAATTAGGAATGTATAAAACCTTCAAGACAAAAAAGTACAGAACAATAATAGTGCAATATGTCAAGTGAAATAAGAGTATATAAAAGCTTATAAAAGACTCACTCACACTTTGCAGAGCTACTCAGAGCTCTGCCGTATAGCGCCTAGACGGTATAATCCCCGTCTCAGGATATCAAGTGATGGTATAATGCGGTATCCAATCCTCCACAGTGGTATATGGAAAGATAAAAATAGAAATAAAATCCAATAGTGTAGTATATCTATTAAAAAGTGTGCAAATAAAGGAAAAGTATCCTACTTACAAATTTCAGAGCAAATATCTTGCTCTGGTATAGACAGCATATGGTGGTATGATCCCCACCAAAGGATATAAGTCAGGATTCAAGATGTATCAGGAACAACAAATAAAGTAGTAAAAACTATAACTTTATTGTTACAAAATAAAAAATATGTAATAAAAGTATCAGATCTCTTACTTAATGCGTTTCGCCCAGTCTGGGGCTTCTTCAGAAGTAATAAGTCCAAAATTCAATGGAGTCCTCTTTATATAAGTGTTTCTGATTAATGTGATTTAGTCCTGATGCAATTTCACTTCCTACTTCCGGGTCGCGTGTGTCACCCGGAAGTGATGTCAGCGAGTCTTTTCGTAGCTTGCTGGGATATGTAGTATCCCTCCATTCAATGGTTGATGGGACATGTAGTTTACATTGTCCATTTCTCTATAAACACTGTTTCGTCACCCGGAAGTGATGTATCACGATCTGGTATTGTTCATGGGAATTGTAGTTCGGCAAATTGCCGATATGGAATACAATACATATAAGAATAAAATAAGTAAATTATGTAATTAACAAGGTGATAAAATTTAAAGAAAGAATGTAAATATAAAAACATATAATAAAAGCAAATAAGACATATGTTTAATTACAAAAGATAGCCAGCACTTTTTTTTTTTTTAAAAGACATCATAGAGCTATACACACAAAATATATAGGTTTATACCAGGTGTTGCATACCAGAAAATAAGCATGCATAGAAATCTATAAAAATAACCAATATTATAAAAATATGCTATACACAAAGTGAACCATGCACATATATGGAGATCTTAAAGTGATACACAGGGGAGGTGGTGTGTAAGCAATAACAATAGTATATAAATATGCAAAGTATATAAAAACTGGTGTGAAAGATTTTTTCTTTTAATATTTATTATAAAAAATTATATCCTCACATTTTGAGTTACATGGTAATGATCCACAGCACTTAAAATTTATGGGCATTTCAAAATTGTCCCAACACTGGAGAGGTGGTGATATAATTAATAAATTGGGCAAGAAAGAAATGGAGTGGGTCTATTTTTTAGACACACTACACCCTAAAGGTCTTAATGCAGAGTTTGATCTTTTTAATTTTTTATAATAAATATTAAAAGAAAAAATCTTTCACACCAGTTTTTATATACTTTGCATATTTATATACTATTGTTATTGCTTACACACCACCTCCCCTGTGTATCACTTTAAGATCTCCATATATGTGCATGGTTCACTTTGTGTATATTTATAATATTGGTTATTTTTATAGATTTCTATGCATGCTTATTTTCTGGTATGCAACACCTGGTATATTTTGTGTGTATAGCTCTATGATGTCTTTTAAAAAAAAAAAAAGTGCTGGCTATCTTTTGTAATTAAACATATGTCTTATTTGCTTTTATTATATGTTTTTATATTTACATTGTTTCTTTAAATTTTATCACCTTGTTAATTACATAATTTACTTATTTTATTCTTATATTTATTGTATCCCATATCGGCAATTTGCCGAACTACAATTCCCATGAACAATACCAGATCTTGATACATCACTTCCGGGTGACGAAACAGTGTTTATAGAGAAATGGACAATGTAAACTATTACTTCTGAAGAAGCCCCAGACCGGGCGAAACGCGTTAAGTAAGAGATCTGATACTTTTATTACATATTTTTTATTTTGTAACAATAAAGTTATAGTTTTTACTACTTTATTTGTTGTTCCTGATACATCTTGAATCCTGACTTATATCCTTTGGTGGGGATCATACCACCACATGCTGTCTATACCAGAGCAAGATATTTGCTCTGAAATTTGTAAGTAGGATACTTTTCCTTTATTTGCACACTTTTTAATAGATATACTACACTATTGGATTTTATTTCTATTTTTATCTTTCCATATACCACTGTGGAGGATTGGATACCGCATTATACCATCACTTGATATCCTGAGACGGGGATTATACCGTCTAGGCGCTATACGGCAGAGCTCTGAGTAGCTCTGCAAAGTGTGAGTGAGTCTTTTATAAGCTTTTATATACTCTTATTTCACTTGACATATTGCACTATTATTGTTCTGTACTTTTTTGTCTTGATGGTTTTATACATTCCTAATTAGAGGACTCTCTGTATGTATATATTTTAATTATTATTTGCACTGTTTGGGCGCGGTTTACCACTTTTGTCTCTTCTGTTTTACATAATATATCATGAGTCTTTTATTAGAAGACTCATGATATATATTATTAGATCATTTTATTAGTGGTATGTCAACCAGT